ACATGACAAAGTAACAAAAAAAAGTACTTCTGTGCATTTTTGGAGCAGCAATTAACTGGCTAAGGAAGATAAGTTGGAACTGTCAGCAGTGAAATGAGTCATCATCACCACAGTTGTAGGTGAGCGCTGAAAAGGAATATCTTGACAACATTCAGCACGGTCAACATGCAAAACTCTTATCAATAGTCTATTTCCCTTCCACCAACCTAGGGATGAACTGCCTGGGAGACCTGGCTGCTTATGGCATGTTTACCTGGCATAGAGCGCCCTCTTCCGGCAGGTCCGTGCACTGCTCCAGCCAAACTCGGGTCCCAAGAAAGCACAAAAAGAAAACATTAAACTCTACATGGACGATCAAGAAAATATTTCAAAAATGTTATCCCTAGAAACTATAACATAACCCAGCGATCGGGACCAAACAGTGCTATGTAATGGGCAATTGCCAAACAGAAGATTCCACATTACCAAACAAAAAAAAGCAAATATAACAGTTTGTTACTGATGAAGATTTTTTTTAAATAGCAAAACTTCATTAATTTTATCATTACAGCTAATTCATACAAAAGCATAATTATTGCATGTATTACTAGCTTCTATTTTTTCCACTGTAGAATAACAAACATCATTAAAAAAAACAAATACATATTAGTAACAATCGCAACAACAAATAAAAACATCACAAATAATAAAACATTAAAAAACATTAGGAAAAATATAATTGTGGTTAGAATGACCACGTTAAAGGGTGTAATAAACACACATAACACACACTAGCCCACTACATCAGCTATCAGTAATCTACAAGGTGTCTAGCACTAAGCTTGCTGCCTCCCTCTTCTAAAAGGTCACTTGCATACAGTAGTTAGCCAGACAAAGAGGAGATAAGTTGGAAAGTGTAAAATTATAGTGTAGCTGGGTCCAATGGCAGTGGCCTGCCTGCTGTAAAATACACCTAACAGGACCCATCAAATTTCAAGCCAGTGACATTTATTCAGGAGGAAAAAAAAAAAAATCTGATCACACCAAGTGGCACCATTCACCATAAATTGCATTCTGGGCACACGATTTGCATTTAATAAGTTCTTGGTGGCATTAAGTGGGTGAGCTGAGCATTTTGCTGTGACACAGCTGTAACTTACTGGCTGAATGCGAGGCTCGCCGTCTTCAAAGTGGCCATCGGCAAACTTGAAAGGAAGTCTAGAACAGAGAAGGCAAAGAGTGCAGTGAAAATCTCCAGATTACACATTTTATCCAATAATCTCCCAGAACCTGGCCTGGCTCTAACCTGGCAATCAGGGCAAGTGGACGGAGTTGTCTGTCACTGGGTATATGGGCATAATGGGTAGAGATGGACTGATGAAGGAGATGAGTGTCACATAACTTCCAGATACAGCCGATTGGCACCATCTTACCTGCATGGCAGTGCCTGTCCGTGGAGCTGGTGAAAGTCCCATCTGTTTGAGGGTTGCCGTGCAGTAGAGGGAAGGTTTCTTGCTTGAGGTATGTTCAGGGGCTCCGCCCTCTAGGGCACGTCTGACAATCCCAGCAAGTCAGCCAGCAGTCCTGAACCTCATTGTCCTTCACCTTCACCTTTCTGTAGCCACTTTCAGAGTATGCATGTAGGCGACTGCAAGGCTGGGCCCCAACCTTCTCCTGGGGCCAATTCAATTACTCCTATTTCATGGCTGGACATCCTAATAACACCATACTACCTCATCAAGATAGAATTCTACATCTTTGAATATAAATTAAAAATGTAACAATCATAGAAAATAACCTAAATTATTTATCAAATGAAAGAAAACTTAATGTAGATTTCAACTTATAGATAGATAGATAGATAGATAGATAGATAGATAGATAGATAGATAGATAGATAGATAGAGACGCACGCACACACTGACTGTAAGAGTAACACACACACACATACAAACATATTTTTTTTAAATACACTTCTTATTTAAGGATGACCACAAACCTTGCAATGAAGGCTTCTCACATTGCACTAACCATTTGATGACAATAGTCCCTGCATTCTCCTATAGACACCAATAGACAGGCGCTTTCTGAAATCTTTCACACAGAATCCTGCAGCCCTGACTAACCTAGAAATATTTTTTTTCCTCAGCTAACAATTCCCATGATAGCAGTCCCCTCATCCCATCCTCATGATAGCAGTCCCCTCATCCCGTCCTCATGATAGCAGTCCCCTCACCCCCCATATCTTTCCACAGACACCTCTGTATATGTGATTCCTGACATGTAAACCGGCTTTGGGAGTTTGTTAGAACTTATTTCACTGATCTGACATAGGAGCAATCCGTGGCTTTACTGTCTGATTTCTGCTAATCCATAGCTCTAACACATACAGTGGCTTTATCCTTTAATACAGACCCCGGGAGATCTCCCAGCATTCACTTCTATACTATGACTATCTACACTATAGAGACATCCTGGAGGCCAAAGCCGGAGCATTCTGTTTGTAGCATTAAAAGGTATTTGTGGATTTAGCTGATTGGATAAAGTCAGTGTCACAAACTGGATCCATTCACATAATATTGCTTCCACACAGCTTATTTTTCATTAGGCCCTATTGAAAGAGTCGTCAGCTCACTGCAGCACTGCAGAACAGATTTCATACCTTACAACAGTGACAAATGATTCATTTGTAAGCAAGGAACTCCCTGCGGGCTACAATTAGTGGCAAAGGTTTTTTTTTTGTTCAGCTTTGTAATGATTTTTCTACAGTTTGGAGGCTTTGCTGGGAACTTTCAATAGTAGCCAGGAAGGAGAACAGTTCAAGTACAATAAAAAGAAAAAACTTCCAGCTCAGCTATGAGAACACTGACATGTAGTATTTTACTGTACTATAAATACATAAAAAATAAAAATATTCAGACCCTATTTCACCTGTGCTGAAACTTCAGATATATTGAAAGACAAAATATCCTACAAAGGTGCTGAATATGGAAGTCCCAAGTATATAACGTTGAAGTTTAGCATTGTTTCAAAATATAACAAATAATCTAAGATCGCAGTTTAAACTGTTTCAATTGTCCTAATAACAAGCAAACTTTTCTAAACATGCTAAATTAAATCCACCATCTAATTTATTTCCTTGTCACCCTACATGTTTTTATTCCTAAGTAGACATATTCATATATATTATGCACATGCACATATATATATGTGTGTGTGTGTGTGTGTGTACATATACGTTTGTATATATATA